ATCCCGATTACAACCTCAGGACTCACCCTCCCCCTCTCCTCAGGGCCTCCGGGCCACAATAAGTTTGATCCCACCACGTCCCAGATGGAAAAGTTACCAGGCCTGCCATGGGAGGGCAGAGCTCCACACTGATATGTATGGCAGGACCTCATCCATCTGTGCTGGCAGGAGTCTGGGAAGCATCATAGTAATGGACTCCAAGGGTGTCAGAAGAACAATGAATTATCAAAGGCTTTCTGGAGCCAAACTTCTCAAAATGAAATCCAGGATTTTATGTGCTGGCTGGAGCCCTGGGGAATGGTACTCAAATCTGCTAGACTTCTCATTTGAAGCCTGTGGTCCAAGTAGTCTAGAGTCAGCACCCTCAGATGCTGGCCTGAATGGACTGCCATTTATGGCTCCCTGCAGTCCGTATTACAGTTCTAAAGGGAAGAGTCCAAAATTGAAGTGTCTGCAAGGCCATGTTCTCTCCAATGGCCCTAAGGGAGGGTCCTTCCTTGTCTTTTTTAGTCCTGGGAGCCCCAGGTGTTCCTTGGCTTGGGGCTGTTTCACCCCAATCTCTGCCTATTTTCACATGGTTGTCTTCTGTCCACGTGTCTCCTTGTAAGGACACCAATTAGTAGGAGCTGAATTGTGTCCCCAAAAGTCACACGTTGAAGCCCCAACCTCCACTACCTCAGAATGTGACCACATTTGGAGAAAGGGTCTTTCAAGCCATAATTACACTAAAATGAGGCCTTAGGGTGGGCCTTGATCCAACCGCACTGGTGTCTTTAAGAGAGGAGATTGGGACACACAGATAAAGGATGCATGTCCACAAAGAAAAGACCATGTGAGGAGGCAAGAGGGCAGCCATCTCTGAGATGGGAGGAAAGCAAGCCTCCAGAATTATGAGAGAAAAAATTTCTGGCAAGCCACCCAGTCTGTGGTGCTGTGTGATGGCAGCCCTAGCAGACTGATATGCTAATTACACTGGGTTAGATCCTACCCTAATTCAGCAGGACCACGAATGACCTCATTTTAACTTGATCATATCTGCAAAGACTCTATTTAAATGAAGTCACATTCACAGGTCTTGGGGGTAAGGACTTCCAACATTATCTTTTGCAGGACATATTTCAACCCACCAGAGCATCAGTTGACTAGTTTGGCTGATATTATATTGTCCTCAGGGGCCCCAGATTTCAGCTGAGCTCAGCCAGTGGGAGGTACTGGCAGGGAAATGGTGGGTGGGAAAGTGGGATAAGAGTCTTTATTCTGGTTCCTTCTCACTGCTAAGTGAGCATTGGCTCTCTCTACTGCAGGCCCGTCTCTGTCAGGCGGCTTTCTCCATACAGGCCCTCTACAGGTTCTGGCAGCTGTTCTTTTTGTGGATCTTCAGGCTCATGGGGTGGGGAGAGGGCGGAGGGGAGGCAGCGTCAGTGGCTCCTCAGTATTGCCAGCTGCCCCCTCTTCTATACCTTCCCCTTACTGGATTCCTTAAACCCCATCTACACCTTTGCAGTTAGCTCCTTTACTGACTACCCACCAACCAGTTGAGTGAAGCGTTTCCTGCTGGGCCCTGCCAATTACCAGGGCATGTTCTAGGCTTTTAGGATTGCGGCATGGTATATATTTATCAGAGCAGGATTATTCCCCTTTGCCAGGCAATTCTCTTGATTATAAACTTGGGGATGGACCTTAAGGATCAAGTGGGGGCAGCCTTGATCCAGACTGGGGATTTCATAGGCTAAAAGATGGACATTACAAGATTGAAGAGGATTTACAGTATGTCCACTGCAAATACAAATTTCTTTCCCTTCTCTGCATCTCGTGTATGGTTTTTGCTTCTTCCATTGAGAAGCAGTCTTCCTCCACCCTTTGCATTGGGCTGGATTTAGGGATTGCTTTGGCTGATGGGATGATGGTAAATGTGAAGCAAACAGACTTGGAAAGGTTTAGCCCACTATTCTTAGAACCAAACCATCAAGTGAACAAGCCTAGTTGGGCTGCCAGAGATTGAAAAATGCATGGCCTGTCAACTGCTGCCCAGCTGAGAGACAGCCAACCAGTGAGTGTCCATCTGTGGTATCCACAATGCCACCAACATTGGTCACCTTCTTGCCTTTTCTAACTTCTGACTATAGCATTTAGTGGTCAGGGAGATAAGAAAAAAAAAAGCACCGAGGAATGGCCAGAAAGGTAGGAGAAAACCAGTCACATGTGGAGTCCTAGAAATCACGAGACCAGGGTTTTTCAAGTGTTTTTCAATTTTCAAATGATCCTCGCTTAAGGCGAGTACTGAGAAAGATCCATCAGACTTGATACCACAGGTGACCTTGAAGACGACTTTGGTGAGGAAGAGGAACAGGAGAGAGAAAATTTGTTCAGGGAGGAAGTTCACAAAGGGAGTGGTATAGGCACTTGTGGGAGTAAGAAACAGTGTGGTGGCGGGATCCCTGGGTGGCGCAGCGGTTTGGCGCCTGCCTTTGGCCCAGGGCGCGATCCTGGAGACCCGGGATCAAATCCCACATCGGGCTCCCGGTGCATGGAGCCTGCTTCTCCCTCTGCCTATGTCTCTGCCTCTCTCTCTTTCTCTCTCTGTGACTATCATAAATAAATAAAAATTAAAAAAAAAAAAAAAAAGAAACAGTGTGGTGTTAGGGCAGACAAGAAAGGGAGGATTGCGTGGGAAGGGAGGGTAAGATGTGACCAAGCAGTCCACCAGTTTGCAATCTGATGACCCAGTGAGAGCCTGGCTAGCGTGAAGCAGAGGGTAGGGAGAGAGGCAGAGAGCAGGCCAAGCCAACTCAAGGCTTGAGCTATAGGGAAAGGCACGAGAGGGAGCCTGGGCTTGGGCACGAGGGGAGCCTGGGCTTGGTTTATATGACATGGCCATGTTCTTGTTGGAATGCAAAGCATGTGTGAATATTGATGAAGAGCTAGAAGAGATGGCAGGGGGGAAGAGAGAGGATGGGGAGGCGAAAATGGAGTCCGGGGAAAAAAGCATATAGGATCCAAATGACTGTCTTTCTCTTCATGTACAGAGGCAGGTGTACTGGCCAAAGCTAGAACTCCACCTACCAGTTTCAACTAATGATTCATGTATATTTTTGCCCAAGAACCTACTGACATTGCTCCGGAAGGATTGGGTTACACATTCATCACTGAAAACTTATAGCTCCCAAGTATCTATACACCAGTTCCAAGCTGCCATCGCAGCTGCAGCCCTTCCACGGAGGGATGAGGCAGTGTCCTGTCCAGTTCGACATGGCTCTCCTGGCCCTGGCCAACTCCCTTCTTCCCCACAGGCCTCAAGTTCTGGCCCCACTTCTTCATCCATTCAAGAGGAGAGCAAAACTCACCTTCCTGGGCTACCTCTGTCTACCCTTCTGGAATGCTTCCCGCCCTAGGCTTGTAGCACACAGTTTTCACCCCATTATTCACTATTCCACACAACTGTTTCAGTAGCTAGATCAAGCTCCTCAGCCTGGTTATCCATAGCCCTTGGCTGTTAGGAACACAAGGGTGAGGTTGAGGGGAGGAACACAAGGCTGAGGTTGAGGGGTATCCCTGGGTGGCTCAGCGGTTTAGCGCCTGCCTTTAGCCCAGGGTGGGTTCCCGGGATCAAGTGCCGCATCAGGCTCCCTGCATGGAGCCTGCTTCTCCCTCTGCCTGTGTCTCTGCCTCTCTCTCTCGGTCTCTCATGAATAAATAAAATCTAAAAAAAAAAAAAAAAAGAAAGAAAGAAATAAGGGTGAGGTTGACCATGGTGATCAAGGCTCAGAATTCAAGCATTATTCCTTCCTGTGTGCTCGTGACTAATTTCTAGTCATGAATTATGGAAAAAAGAGGCGTGAGGAAAATGAGTCACATTTCAGAGTAGATTAAAACATGCCCTTCTACTTCTAAAATGAATCACAGAGAACAACTAAACACAAGTTTTCAGCTACAGAAAACACATGAAGAAAAAAAAAAGGAAGAAAGAAAACACATGAAGGAAAGAATTATTAAAGTTCCCTTAGAGACCACAAGGGAATCTCTCTCTCTATGCAAACAACAAATCTGGATGAAATACTTTAATCCAAGTCTGAAACTTCCCATGTTGTAAACTTTCTATGCTGGTAAAAAGCCAATCTAGTTAACAATTGGAAATTCTGATCTCCAAAACCTCACAGCCCCACCCTTGTTTTCACTGACCCTCTCTTCTGTCTGGAACCCCCAGTGTCCCCCACCCAAAATTAAACTCAAATGTCTCTAAGACTCAGATTCTTAGTCTGGACTATTCCAACCTGTTTGTTTGTAAGTACACTGTTCTTCAAGTGTCCTGGTTATTGCTCTCCCCAACGCTCCCCAAGAGACTGTAAGTTCCATAGGAGCAGATTATATTTTTTCCTTTATATATAGCAAGGAAGACAACCCCAGAATACTTCACACATATCAGATACTCAATAAATGTCAACCAATGTATACATGAGACCACTCTAGAATATTTTTCTGGCTAATTAACCTGCACTATTTTGTTTCCTTATGATCTTGACTTGACAGCAGGATCAGTAAACTACAGCACATAAGCCAAATCCAGCCCATGAGCTGAGAATTTTTTGGTTTTCAACATTCCTTTAAAAAAAAAAAAAAAAAGGCACAAACCCAACACTGTGCATCCTGTACAGCCTGAAATTTTTACTGTTTGGTCCTTTACAGTGGACTATTGACAAGAATGTAACAAATGAGTCCTGGTGCAAGGGGAATGACCCACAGGGCCCTTGTCTAGAGGTTTGTTTATCCTAGAATTTAGCAACTAGCTCAGCACCTGATTCTGTGGACAGACTTCAAGGGGCCTGCCCACTCTGGGAATCACTGTAGCTGACCATCACTCCCCCTGCTCACAGGTGAGAAACAGTGAGCAGGAAAAGTAAGTAATAAGAGGAGGTTGTGGCATGATAGAAAGCTATTTCAGGTTTGGTAGACATATTCAAGTTCATAATGAAACGTCCTTGAATTTAATAAAGGTGCTAAAAATGTTTTTTTTTTTGTATTTTTTTAATATTTACAGTTTCTTTTTTACAAAGTTCTGTACATAAAAATAAATATACAGAAACAACCCCATCAACTGTCTGCATCAGTAATCCTCGCTGGTGGGCTCACCGTTTACAAGGAAGACATCATTCAACGCAACCTGTCACAGAGACTGTCCTACCTGCAACAACTTCTAACTTGAAGAACCATTAATTTTATCAAGATTGTTAATCACCTGGTGGGCTTTATCTACCACCTAGAAATTACCCATGAATCAATGAATGCAGTCACTGGCTTTAGTGAAGTGTGACGAACTGTCACTACTGCTAGTGGTGCTATTATCCTATGCTGACTTCAACCAATAAAGATGCATGTGTGGTTAAGAACAGAAATAAACCCCACTCCCCTTGGCTAGTCACTGTGAAAAGCATGCGCGTAAGGCAGTTGAATTGAGGGTTACGGATTCATCTTGCTAATGTCCAAAGTGACACTAACAAGATTCTTAGCCTCATCCACCAGATGACGGGCCTCTGCGTCCAGGTCTCCAGGAGCAGGCTCCACCTCCTTCACCAGATAGTGGGTTGTAACCTGGGATGAGGGAAAGGAAGCAAAACACTGGGCACATTCTGCATCAAATATAAAATTCCGAGCCTGACATGCAAAGCTCTATTCTCACAGACATTTTCATAAAACTTTTAGCTACCATGTGAAAAAAATACTTTATTCTGTGATTACACTTTGAATGGACTTTCTGGGGGATTAACAGAAGTCATCCAGCATTTTGGTCTTAACTCCTCAAAAATGTAAAAATTCCCCAAAACACACAAGAAATTTGCCCCAAAAAACCTCTCAAGATGGCTGGATTTAAGTACATGAAGGCTTCTACAACAGTGCTTAATAAAATGTATACATTCAAATAAGGACAGTGCAAGCTACAGAAAATAAATTTAAAAAATATCAAAACAGAATGGAATTTGCCCCTACTACCGATCAGACCTGGGTAACATTCATGCCCTCACCCTCACCCCTAATCCCACCCACTCAGCTCCCAAAGTTAACAGACATTTGGTGACCAGGTTGAGTGCTCAGGCTTTAGGCCAGTGAGACCTTAACTGAGGTGGTTTTGCTCCTTACTTACTATGGGATCTTTGGGCAATAACTCCCTGTGCTTTGGTTCCCTTATTTGTAAAACCAAGCTACTCAGAGCATCTAGCTCAGGATCATTGGGAACACTGAAAGAGACCATGCACATGAGCACATCATATGTTACGTTTTCTACAATGTCCACTCTTCTCCTAAATATCACCACTGTTTGTTCTACAAAATATCCTTTCAGAAAATTTTTTTTAAAAAAAGATTTGAGAGAGACACAGGGAACAGAGTGACAGGCATGCATGTGCATGGAGGGGATAGGGCACACGGCAGAGGGAGAGGGTGAAAGAATCTCAAGTAGACTTCCCGCTGACTATGGAACCAAATTCAGGGCTTGATCTTATGACTCTGAGATCACAACCTGAGCTGAAACCAAGAGGTGGACGCTTAACAAACTGCGCCACCTAGGTGCCCTGATAAAGTTTTAAAATAGCATTTTCTTTTCGGATATATCACTCCTCTAGGAAGACAGCTTTGGGTTCCTGACGCAAAAAGGATGGGGCTCAGCCTTTATGGACAACCCAGCTTCTGTCTGTGCTGCCTTGGAGCCCACATTCCAGTCTCCCTGTCGTCCTCCCAAGACGCCAGCCAGCCTTCCATGCCTCTGCCTCTTGCAACACCTCTGTGCAGAAGAAACCTTCTCCCCCAAAGGAGAAAAAAAGTATTCAGCCCAGAACTGGTTCCTCCACAGTGTTCTGTTATCTTTGCCCCCTCCTCCCTCAGGATTAATGTGGAACTGCTAGCAGATCACAATCATTACTTATTTTCATTTTTAAGTCATGTCTTCCCAAAAGGATGTGAAAGACCTCAAGAATGGGATGGAAAAAGACAGCGACCGGGTCACCTAGAGTGCAGGGGGCAGGGGTTGCACACAGAAAAAAGCTCTGGATGAACACCTGTTCGTGTCTCCTTGAGAGAGTTATTTGCAAGAAATAAGGTGGCCCTGGCTGGGAAGACAGAAACCACGGTGTTCTAGCCTCGTGACACTCATTTGCAAAATGTGCAAACTATCCTTTGCCCTACTTAATTCTCCCCTTCCTGTGTGGGAGCAGGGTGAGAGGCTTAAATATGAGAGCCACCATGCCAGTTACTCATGGGGGCCTTGACTGACCACCCCTTCCTATTTCTTAGGCAATGTTTACTTTACTGATTGGACATGGAGGCTTAGGAGGTTACAGACCTTCTGGAAGCAGGATCTGCTCCCATACCCTTACTGGGCAACAGGGACATTGGGCTCACCAGGGACATTGGGCTCACCAGGTTGGCGACCTCGAGCCATTAAGGGTTTCTTTTATTTATCCCCTAATACCAAGCTAGGAATTAGCTTCAATTTATAGATAATTAAAAAAAAAAAAAAAAGGAAGAAACAGAATCTTGTTTTTAAAAGGTAAACCTACCCTGTAATTACACAGAATACGTTAGTATCTGGTACTCACCACCTCCCCGCAGAGGCTTTCGATCAGGTTTCCGTTTCGGCAGGACTGATGAAGTAGAAGGCCCAGGACTGTCTTCTTCCGGAGGCTTTCTTGCATTTCCTTTGTAACTTTTCCCTTCTTGCATGCTATCCCACATTTCAATCTTCTGTCTCCTTTTTTGTTCCTCAAGCTAAGAAAGAATTGCACATTAATTCATAAGGTGCCATCTTTCTCAAAGAAAATGCTAATTTTGGCAATTTTTTCATTTATTTTTTTTTAAAGATTTTATTTATTCACGAGAGATACAGAGAGAGAGAGAGACAGAGGCAGAGACACAGGCAGAGGAAGAAGCAGGCTCTATGCAGGGAGCCTGATGTGGGACTCGATCCCAGGTCTCCAGGATCAGGCCCTGGGCTGACAGCGGTGCTAAACTGCTGAGCCACCCGGGCTGCCCAATTTTTTCATTTAAAAGTCTTTGAAACCAAACCTTCACCCGAATTTTCTTTAGTTAATTATGTTGCTGTCATCTAGTGGTATAAGTTTGACTCACACAGAAATTTTTTTTAAAAAAACTTTATTTATTGGGCAGCCCCGGTGGCTCAGGGGTTTAGCACCGCCTTCAGCCCAGGGCCTGATCCTGGAGACCCAGGATCAAGTCCCACGTCAGGCTCCCTGCATGGAGCCTGCTTCTCCCTCTGCCTGTGTCTCTGCCTCTCTCGCTCTCTCTGTGTCTCTTGTGAATAAATTAATAAAATCTTTAAAAAAAAAAAATTTTACTTATTTATTTGGGAGAAAGACAGACCATGAGCAGCAGAGAGGGGGAAATGGAGAAGCAGGCTCCCCACTGAGCTGGGAGCCTGATGCGGGGCTCGATCCCAGGACCCCAAGATCATGACCTGAGTTGAAGGCAGACACTTAATTGCCTGAGCCACCCAGATGCCCCTGTGTTTATAAACTTTAAAGAGAGCAAAAAGTGTCATAAGAAAGAAAATACCAATTCAGTTCTTCTAAAAGTTGCCCACAGTAGGACATTTTTGTGACATGGAAGAACTCTGACTTGGAATGGGTGAGTGTGGCTGCCAGGTCTGTTGCCACTTGGCTGAGTTACCTAAGGAAAGTCACTTATTCCTTCTGCTTTGCAGAATGAGAACGGATGTGATGTGAAAGTGCTTTGAAAGTCCAGTACTACTGGAAACATAAAGGAAAACTAATCTCAGCAGAAAATTGTACAGAACAACAAGCACTTGAGAACGCTGCAAGCATAGAATGAGCAGGCTCCCAAGGCAGGAGGGAAACGTAGTGCGCTGGACCTTTGCCTCTGTCTGCCACTCTTGGAAGAGCAACATCCCCACCAGCAATCAGGAACCATGCCTTATGTGCACACAAGCTTATGTGCACTACACATTTCTCATCCCCCATGGAATCCAGACTCAAACTGCTGTTCATTCTGGTTCCAGTTGAACTGTGACACCAGAAGGATATGTGAGAAATCTCTGGAAGCACATCCACAAGATTTCTCCAAGGTTTTCAGGGTCCACTGCTCCTAAACCCCAACACCTGTTACCCCATGCTTCCACTGTCTGCAAGGACAAGAAGTCAAGGAGGAAATCATCTCTTGACCTGAAGGCTATTCTATACTCCTGGCTGACACACAGAACACCAGGATGGAACACACCTGACAGATCCTGAAACTGTGAATAGGAGAGCCGATTCAGCTGTGGGCCAGGCAGACTCAACCCACTTGTTATTATTACTATGCTTGTAGTACAGGAAACAGAATTACATGTACTGAAACAATCTTAAAACCAAACATGGACTTTTGTCCCTTTTCCAATTTTAGGAGGGTCACACTGCAATTTTACAAAGATTTTTTTTTTCAGCTACTTCAGCAAACTGCATAAATGATCAAGCTACTTTACAGACACAAACTCAGACCCTGAAGTTGTCAATTCTGACATGTAAAAGGAACTCAACTTATTCTATGGCTCTTGGAACAAAATAATAATAATTAAATGGTTGTAGATCAGTAAACATTAAAATAGAATGGATCAAAAATGGCATCTATGTATACATGCTGCCATTTCAATGAAAAATTTCTTTTTCTTAAAGATTTTATCTATTTATGAGACACAAGGAGGGAGAGAGACTGAGGCAGAGACATAGAGAAGTAGGCTCCAGGCAAGGAGCCCGATTTGGGACTCGATCCCAGACCCCAGGATCATGGCCTGAGCTGAGGCAGATGCTCAACTGCTGAGCCACCCAGGCGTCCCTCAATGAAAAACCTCTATGGGTATTTATATATGAATAAATATTGCTGGAAAAATATCTAAAAAACCTAATATGGAATGCTGGGCAGCAGGAGGTAGAAGAACAAAGAGATAGGAGACTTAATTTTCATGGTAGAGATTTTTTATAACAAACAATGAAAAATTTTTTTTTTACCTTGTATGATTAAAAAAATTGAGCAACAGCAATGTGCGAGTACATTCTAGGTTAGTGATTGCATTTAAGTGGAAAACATGCAATTGAACACTGAAGAAGGTTGCTGAGACAGGGTGACCAAGGGGGAGGAACGTGTGGAGTAGGTGTGCTGTTGTTCTGTCCTCCTGGGCTCCAGCCAAGCTGGGGAAACCAGCCATGTACTAGATGACTGTGCAGAAACCACAGGAGCCACTAGCAGTGGCAGAGAGGCACAGGACACTGAAAACACCACAGACACAAGCAAAAGCAACAGGAAGACCAATTTCTCTGATGCCCTCGAGCTAGCAGAGGCTTTCTTCTAAGAGGAAAAGGGGCCCAGAAACATCTGGACTGAAACTTCTTAGAAAGTAAAGTCTACAACTTGGTCGTTTCAGTTACACAGACTAGGTCAAATCTGGTGGGTGGTCTTGTTCCTGAGAAGGGCAGTACAACCCACCTGACCCCTCAAGTCACTTCCAACAGTTGTCATTGGTTCTTTCTTCCCTCTCCCCTTCTACTGCTCCCCAATGAAACAACCTGCCTTTAAAAAAATCTTTCAAAACTCCGTCTCCTGCTCCCCATCTCACCCCTGGGTTGAGCCCACTATTGCCCTCCACCCTGACTCTCCTTCAATCCACTGAAGAATGACTAGATCCACCAAGCTGGATCGTGTGAGATACATGGCTTAAAACAGACAATGGAGCTAGAGCTGAACGTGGCATGGCACCTGGACACACAGTTTTGGGTGAGAATACAGTGCGAAGAAACCATTGGAAAGCAAAAAAGGTAAATAAAAGAACATCCTTTTAAAAGAGTATTTTCCCCACAAACAGTAAGATATTGCACAAGAGAAGTGTGCCGACCAGTACTAAGCTAAGAGGAATCAATTCTGCCATAATTAGCTGTTCCCAGTACCCACCCTAACGGGGTGGGGTGAAGACGACTTGCGGCAAACCTGCTTGTATACCACACACACCACCACACACACACCACATTCTTTTACCCACTAAGCAGCAAAATATTTCTTAAGACCATGTATTCAAACAAAAACCAGCTCATACCTGTCTTAGTTTTTCCTTATGCTTTTCAACTTGTGCATTTAATTCTTCTTGCATTTTCAAACGAGCGGCTGCTAGAGCCTCCTGTCGTTTAACAACAACATCAGGTTCTAAAAGGTCAGGAAAAAATTTAATAAAAAAGAGATTCTTAAGGGTCCATATTATTAGGATACAGAAGTGCAGATGTCAGGCAATACAAAAACAAGGACTTCATGTGACAATTCTCCCGTTGTGCATAAATTTTACTGCTTATGGGGGCAGAAGACTGCTCTTACTGCCTTAGTTCTTAGCCCCAAAGATCCAGGGCACCAGAAATCCCTGCTAGAAATGCATATTTCTGGGCTCCCTCAGCAATTCCAATTCACAAGAGTCTGGCATAGCCCCGTGACTAAGGGGCACCTGAGATTCTATTTCACAACCTGGATTTCTAACATTCAGTCTCCAGGCTGACCAGAATTTGAGAAGACAACAAGGAAAGATAAAATTTTCTAATCATTAGCCACACTTATTTAGCTCCGATCCCTACCACAAAGACGTAAAGATCCTTAGGCATCTTACCCTTGTTTCTACAGAAAAGAAAAATCCTTCCAGTTAGCCTTAATGGAAATAATGCTCCCAGTTTTATCTACGTTTTATCTGGTTTATAAAACAAAACAGAGTTATATAAATATACTGTCAAGTTCTCTATCTGCTCATCTATTGAGACCACCATGTTAAGAATCAGCAAGAGGCATCTACACAGTGGTATGGCTAATTTTTAAAGAAGAAAACAAAGTAGAACTATATGTTCACATCAGCACTATCCAAAAGCATAAGCAACCATCACTACCTAGAAGGTAGTGGAAAGAGAGTACTTAACTGAATCCACATAAAATGGGCCAAAGTAGCACGTGTGTGTGTGTAGTGGTAGAAATGACTGGAATTTTATCTTCAGAAACAAAACAAAATTATAGTTCCACTTCACAGAAATGTGATTTTTGGTAAAATCTGTAACTATCAGGGCATTCTTAAAATAAAATCAAGCATGGATTTTCTTTTTTAACCAAATTTTCCTAACAAAGTTGTATAATAGCACAACATAACACTTTTGACTACACATTTACTTTTTGCAGTTCTTCACGAAAAAAAGCCTCTTTTAAAATGCCCAGCCTAAATAAATAAATAAATAAATAAAATAAAATAAAATAAGAAATAAATTGCCCAGCCTATCATCTTATAAACCTATTCTTCAATTGTAAGAGCAGTCTCACACTGCCAACACTTCACTCGGAGAGATGGCTATACCAGGTGACTAAAGCTGTTTCCTAACACCACTGCCGCCCTCTTGAAATCCTGCATCTTATGCAAGATGCACAACTGCAATTTGTAGTTTGCTGTCAGATGCACAGCTAACAATAAAAAAGACTGAGAGAATGGCAGGGCCACACACAGAGTTTAATGGAAGAGCGGAGAGGTATGTCTGAAGGACATTCCTAAGCCTTTCCGCTAATGACAACTTTTGTGCTACAACATTTGCTTTTCTCCCCAAACTCAGTAACTCTGGTGGGTCAAAAGAAGGATTTGTATTTAATTGTGCTGCCACTCTCAAAACACTTAACATTTCTTTCTTTTATTTTTTATTTTTATTTATTTATTTATTTATTTATTTACGATAGTCATACAGAGAGAGAGAGAGGGGCAGAGACACAGGCAGAGGGAGAAGCAGGCTCCATGCACCGGGAGCCCGACGTGGGATTCGATCCCGGGTCTCCAGGATCGCGCCCCGGGCCAAAGGCAGGCGCCAAACCGCTGCGCCACCCAGGGATCCCACATTTCTTTCTTTTAGATATGTTCTCAGAAACTAGCTTCTATCTACTGAAGCGGCTACAGTTTCAGAGGGAATATGTTTTCAAAACAGCCAAGTATAGTTTGAAATCAGAGCTGATGAGGAAGTTGTGAAAATCAAAATGTGGTGGATATAAAGACCTAAGGCTGAGTTTCTTGTCACTTGCAATGGTTCTAGAAATTTAGTAGGCAGACCCACAAGTAGGAGACGCTGTGAAGTTTTCATTTCAGTCCATCCTATAAGTAAAAAAACATTTAGCAAAAAAATGCAGTGAGTGCTCTACACATCATGAAGCAGGTTTTCCATCTCATTAAAATTACCGAAATTTAAGGAAATAAAAAAGCTACCACACGTTCCCCAAAATTAGTTACAGAAGCATAAAAGGGGCTTCCTTTCATATAGATTAGAATCATGGACTTCTTACTCTTCCTAATACGCTAACTTTTAAATACTAAAAGAAAGAGGTGTACAGGTGTATACCCTCCTGGTATCACGCACTAACCCACGGCTGCTTCAGGCCGGTCCAGCTGCCTCTGCCTCAAGGCCCTCAGCCGGGTGGAAAGCTTCTGAAACACCACGTAGAGAAGGATGCAGCTGAAGACGATGTACCAGCCATAGGTGGCCAGCAGGGAGCCCACTGAAAAGCAGAACACAGTTGTGAAGAAACTGAACATCATGCCACTACTAGACTTTTTCATGAAATTCAACTAAGACGAGGCGTAGCTCCTCCCCTCAAAACCCAGAGTGCAGCCGAGGAAAGGGCCTCCTAAGTAGGCAATTAAAATAGGCGCAGCACCATTCAAGGGTCGCCAAGAAGGAAGGGCCTTCTCAACCATCTGGGGAGTCGGGGGCAGGTCCGGAGGATGGAGGGCACGGCAGAGTGGGTTTCGGTGGGTGGAGGGAAGCGTATCGACTCGGGAGGGCAAAGGCCTTTGAGACCTCAGGGACATACAGAAAGGGGTGGCCGTGGGGGCCGATGCAGCGCCGGGTGTGCGGTGGGGTGGGGTGGGTGACGTGAGCCCGGGAGGTGAAAGCCCAGCGCGGAGGGGCCACCGTTACCGCAAGCCGGGAAGGGCTTGCTTCGCATAAAATAAAGGATTCGCGCAAAGAAGGGCGGGGCCGGGCCGCGCAGAGAAGTGCGGTTCCGGGAGGGACTCCGCGCGTTCCAGGTCCGCCTCCCGGACCTGCGTGCGGCGCCACCCGGCTGCCGCCCAGGCCTGCCCAGGCCTCCCCAGGCGTCCGCAGGCCTCCCCGGGCCCGCCCGGGCGCGCAGCGGAGGACGACCCACCGAACATGGCGGCGCCCGGGGGACAGGCGGTACAAGCCCGCGGCCCAGCGGCCCGCAGCTGCGACTCACCCGTGACGTGCAGGTAGCGCAACCCCTCGGTCTCCAGAGCCGGCCGCGCGGACAGCTGCTGGCCGTCCCGCTCCATGGCTGCCTTCTACCGGCGGCGCCCGGCCGCGTCAGAGGGCGTCTTCGCCTTCCGGCCCGCCCCTACGTACACGTGGCGTGCGCCCTGCACCAGCGTCCCTGAGTCCTGGCCAATCGTGGCGCGACCCGGCCCTGGGGCTCGGCCAATCACAGTGAGGGCGTGGTCCACGGGGGCGTGGCCGGGAAAGCACGGGGAGGCGGCGGCGGAGCGCGCCGGGCCTGTCACGCCCTGTTATCGTGAGTGAAGCCGCCTGACTTATCTGCCGGCCGACGTCGTCTGGCAGGTTTGCTTTTGTACTGATTGCACACCGAGGTCACGGGGGCGCTGGGGGCCTCCTGGAAACGGCTCCTGCGCCCACATCCTCGCCCCGGGCCCGTTGGGCAGGCGGACTCCCGGCTGGCGAGGGCTGCAGCCAAGCTCCGCCCCCGAGGGGTGCAGGTGAACCCCTGGCAGCCGCCTCCTCCACCTGCCCGGGTTGCATCTCAGGCGGAGGAAATCCCACCTCCCCTCACGGTTCTCCTCCTCTCGGCTCCGGAGAGTTAAAGCAGTGGCTCCAGCACGTATTGAATCCTCGTAGGTGTCACCAGGCGGTGACAGTTGTTTATAATAGATGCCTGGCGGCTCCCTCGGCCTGCAAAGACTTCCTCCATCGCCTTCGCTCTGCTCTGAAGCCTTCATTCTCCCTACTTGAAATGTGAAAACTCGAGTGATTTTTGGAGCAGGCTTTGAGGTGAACACGCCTAGCCGTGTCTCGAGAGGAGGGTTGAGAATCAGGAAAACAGTCGTGGAAAGACAGCGAACAGGGGATAACGTCAAAGCTCTTCGCCTTGACAATGGGCTCTTGAAACGGGGAAATGGAGGACTCTGGACTTTGTCAGCCACTGATCTGATGAGTTTAGGAGGGAGAAAGGTTATTCCCTTCTTGATGTTTTCCTCTCGCTTGTAAAAGGTGATGTGCCATCACTCTTTGAGGTGGTTTCCCACTTGATCTGGCATCTTGCAGGAACTCGATGTGCTAAAACTGGACTATTCCTTGGGATTATGACTGCAATACTTGATTGAGGATCCGCTTTAAACATGCCTTGTGTAGAAATAGTGATAAACTAGTCAAGAGGTTGGGGTTGCCCAACTGGACCTGATACACTAACTATACTGTAGGAGTCACTGCTCATGGAAGCCATTGATGAGGACCTCTCTCTTTTCTCGGAGCATTGATGTCCTGGAAAAGGATCTGGCACAAGTTTTGATTCATGCTTTTTATGTTCATTTTTTTTTTTTTTTTACAGTCACTTAGTGGTTAAGACTGCTGGTAGCTTAGAAGGTTTTTAACAGATAGTTCCCTGCCCTGATAAAAGGCATCAGGGATCCCTGGGTGGCGCAGTGATTCAGCGCCTGCCTTTGGCCCAGGGCGCGATCCTGGAGATCCGGGATCGAATCCCACATCGGGCTTCCGGTGCATGGAGCCTGCTTCTCCCTCTACCTGTGTCTCTGCCTCTCTCTGTGTGTGTGTGTGACTATCATAAATAAATAAAAATTAAAAAAATTTAAAAAAAAGGCATCAGGTTAAGATGCGAAAGCATCAAGTATGTTGCAGTAAACATCATTTCAGAGCTCACAGTGTAGCCCAGGAATTAGGGTATTTGGAGGAGCTATGGAGAAAGATCTGACCTTGCAGAGATCCTACCTTACTGGTGCCAGCTTTCAAGCCAAGTCAGTGAATTAAGTCAACCTGCAAATCCTAAAAATGCCAAAATGTTGCATCTGGTTAAATGGTGTAGAAGAGTTTATTTGCCTTGTTTACCTACCCTTCCCTGCAGTGTCTGCAGGGATGAAGATAGAATAAATTTAACATTTCATTTCTATCATTTAAACAAAAAGAATGAATAATTCCTGTCACTCAAGATTTTGTGATAGAAAACAGAAACCAGCACAACAGTAATGAAAATAACGCACATTTTTAAACGCCAAGAGTAAAGTGCTTTTGCATACTATTATGAACTAGCGTCTCTGTGTTTACATATGTACTCGCAGTATGATGAATAGTATATTCAACTAAAATCTAATAGGTTTTGAATTGCTAGGATGCAATGGATAAAGAGAGTTTGCTTTAGTTCCTTAGCACATTGCTGTTCTTAAGTTCCCACTGATGGAAGTTATTCTTCCTAGCCAGGCTGATGTGTTGTTACCTTTGTCCCTTTAATCAGGAAGTATCTCACCTAGCTTATTTAGAACCATAAAGTTATTTCAGCACACACTTTGTTCAATACAACTGCTCACAGGTTATTTGGAAAAACAGAACAAAGGCAGTATCCAGAACTCCCAACCAGTCAGACCATAGTAGACTAAATGTCCCCAATTCATCATTCCTTCTTACAACCACATCCTTGCAATAGCCTCAAGGTAGGAGTATTATTTGCCCCTTTGACTTTGAACTTGGCCAGGTGGCTTGCTTAGGTTAATGGCAAGTAGGCAGATTTAACAGTGTGTCAGTTTTGAGTATAGGTCTTAAGATTTTAGTGTTTTCTCCTTGTGTCACTGTCCAGTTAGCTAACTTGCCCAAGGAAAATGAGATATGTAAAGCTGAGTCATGCTAGTTAGCCCATGGACCTGCAAGGAAAAGCAGAGCCAGGTGTGAGAATAAATGGTGGTTGCCACTTAAAAGCCTGAGTTTTGGAGTGGTTTGTTATGCAGCATCATTGTGGCAATAGCTAACTGATAAATTGCCTAACACCTCACCTTTTAACAAAAGTATAAAACAAGACAGGATTAAAGGTGTTGGTAGCTAAGGGAGATTACAGAGATGGCAATCAAATAATAGTGTTTCTCAAACTCGAATGACCCTTTCAATGACATTCTTATAGATTCCAACCGTAACATTTAAAGGTTTTGAGACCGAAAAAGAGAGCGAGAACAGGGGAGGAGGAGGGAGAAGGGCAGAGAAAGAAGCAGACTCCCCACTGAGGAGGGAGCTGGGCTCGGGGCTCCATCCCAAGACCCTGAATCCTGACCTGAGCTGAAGGCACCTGCTTAATTGACAGAGCCACCCAGGCGCCCCCTACTGCAGCATTTAAATTAGGTTAAATATCGGGCAGCCCCAGTGGCTCGGACGTTTAGTGCCGCCTTCGGCCCAGGGCCTGATCCTGGAGACCAGGGATTGAGTCCCACATTGGGCTCCCTGCATGGAGCCTGTCTCTCATGAATAAATAAGATCTTTAAAAAATAATTAGGTCAAATATCTACATATATAAAACTATATATTTATGTATATGTAATTATATACATTTCCTAAATGTATAGTTCTTTGAACCTCAAAACCTAATCACATACAAATGCAGTTACAGGATTTCCTTCTCCTTTGGTGCCCATGGTTCTTGGTCACACCATTTCAAAGAATGAAGAGATCTATAGACCAGACGAACAATGGTGGGCAGCAAAAGTTTATTGAGCCATAGTAAAGTGATAGTACAAAACTCCCGAAGGGGACCCAAGAGGGCTGTCATTGGAGTTTCTAAGTCTAGAGTTTTATGGACTTGTTGGAGGGCTGTTGCACCTGTCATCCAATCGGACTTTTGTCATCTGTCACATGGGAAAGGGTAGAGGGCTCCTCCCAGAGTGGTGTAAAATCATTTTAAGGGTTGTTTCCCCTTAGGGCGGGGCCCCTTGTCCTGCCCTGCCTCTCTTCAACTATCCTTCATCAATACTATAAAACTACTAATAATCAAATCAACATCTTAATGTAGTTACACAGAAATAAATTTGAGTGTTGCAGGACTATGCCACTGGTACAAGTTGCTACTATAACATGATAGAAGGTATCTTTGACCAAACCTTATGTTCTGCAAAATCGCACACTGAAAACATAGGGCTTCTGGGAAAAACTGGGTGAAGGCAAAACTCATTTTTCTGGTCCTGAGACACAAAGATGTTGGTTGAGCTCTGAGCCAAGGAGCCCTCGCTTTCATCTCATCAATTTTTGAAAAATCCTCACTTGGGACCATGGCATAAATACAGTAGCAAGGTCTCCTGTTTTTTCTTAGCAGCCCTCAAATCATTAACCACGAGTCATTAAACTATTTAGTACCAAAGTAATCCTGTTTAGTCCAGATCCATTCAGGGGATGGCACGTCTTGTATTATTGCTAAGTACTGCCCACAGTCAAAGCCAGGACCACAGTAAGCTACTTAAGAGGTAAATAAGGAACGTGACTGGAGGGAGGTGAACTGCAACCAATGTTATAACTGAGAGGCTAGTGACCAGAGGCTTCAGAATCCCCTTAATAGGTGGCTTATAAATGATGAGAGCAGGGAGCCTCCTGACTAGCATGGCAACAGCTTCCCTGGATCTTAAGTGTGGAGAAGAAAAATGGACTTGTGTAGTTGTCCTATCAGAAACAGAAGTGTTGGGAAATGTGCATTTACAGAAAGGCTCTGTGAAAGTAGAGAAGGCAGCCTCATGGCCACTTAGGTCATGAAAGGTGCTGTAGAAGCTAAATTCTAATCCAGCCCATGAAGATCTCTAAGACCACCCCCAACCCCACCCCACATCTTCCTGTTCTGATCCCATGTACACCTAGTAACATTCTAATCCCAAAGGGCATCTGGGTGAGGGGCACAGCAGAGCATGAATTGCAGTTATCTTCCTCTCAAATCAAATTCCAGTTTATAAATCCATCTACTGTGTATTTGGGTTAGTTCCTGGGTGCCTAAATGCCCCAGGCCTCAGGCAATCATTAAGAAACATCAAACTCCAAATCTGCTAAGGTGAGAATAAGACAAGAACACAGCAATCCACTCTGGTTTGAGCATCAGTAAGTGGATTACAGCAGACTGTTCTTGAAGGAGTTGAAAGGTGCCAGGTAGATTTTAAGGAAGTGGTGAGAGGTTAAGGCTGGAAATCCTCTGGGGAGCATTGTCCTGATGGACAGCAACTGGGAACATACTGGAAGTGCAGCCCCAGGGCCCATGGGATCTTGCCATTTAAAAGGTGCCCCGAAGTTCACAGCACACTGGAGTTGTAAAGCACTGATTTAGGGTCATACTGAGGAAATCT